ACGGTCTGAAAAAGGCACACCCTTGATACATATATCAGCTGAGATCCAGCATTTGCCTCCATCTACTTAATACTTTAGAACCTGGATCTACAATTTTCTAGCTAGCAAAATGAAAGTAAGTTGTTGATTCAATGTAGCAGAGGGTAAAGTACTTGGGACTACACATACTTGAAAAAGAAAAATTACCTTTGGAGAAAAGAAAAGTTAATTAAAATGGTTTCAAAAAGCTGTTATTACCTCAGTATTGATTTTCTCATGTGGAAATTTTGGGTAACAAGAGATCTTAAAATAAAAACATTCCTATATGAAAACTTATTTTTAATATATAAGTATAGAAGCAAATTACGCTTTGCATGCCCAGAATCCTCTTCCATTTTAGAGTCTTCATCAAAATCACTTCCAAACAGGAATGACATTAAAATTTTGCAGAACAGCCGGCTCATGTGAAAACAGCAAGATGTGCTGCCAACAGAAGTACTTCTCTTTAGAAGCTGATCCTGGATTTCAGTCAGGAGTGTTTCACCATTGCTTCTGAGAAAAAAAACTTCACTGAAACTGCAGTAATTTTTTAATTGCTTAGTGGACTTCACCAAGGAGTCTGTTTACTTCCAAAATGTTAGAAATTTAAGGAAGTTCAGTCATTTAAACATACTCTCAGCTTGAAGTAATTATGAGAACAATTGTTATGCCAAGAAAAAAAATGTACCAGAAGGAATCAAGAAAAACTTCTACATTGGTGGTTGAATGCAATCAATAGTTTTGGGAAGAATGAGGTTGGTGAAAGTTTGAGCTCTTAACGCCTCAAAACGCCCCTCTGAATACAGTACTCACCACAAGAGTACTGTACAGACTTGGAACATGCTGGCCAATACAGATACAAATACAAATAATGTTGTATTACATATAAGTTAAGTTTTAAACCCAAGAAAAAAGTACTTGGAGCAACCTTGCAAAAAATGAGTCAGAATCTGGTTACATTAAAAAATATTCGTCACGCTGTCTTATTACCTGAAGGGTATTCTCTTCTCCCAGATGTTTAATTTAGAATGCTGAATGAAACTGAACTTACAGGAAAAAATAATGGGAGACAAATTCGGGCTCTTCTCTGAAACAGACTCAAACAATTTGAAATGTTGTAAGTGTATAATCTGTAAAATCTGAGCCATCACATAATCTGCATTGAGCTTCCTTAACTTGCTTCAACTTAAGAAAAGCATTTCCAGGGAAGCATCTTCAAACTGACAAATGCCACCTATCACTGCAAATTCTTAAAACAAATCAGTCTTTTCCACAATTGGGAGAGGAGGTGGTTGCACGCCAAGGATTTCTAATTTTGCAGGGTTTAGGTCTGGTTTATCCCCTACTCAATGATTATACATTCTCCTTAAAGGCTGAGTGGGTTTCCTGCTTTGTTAAGGAGACATATTGGATCTCTCTAAAATAGAGTGAGACACTTATTAAAATGCATTAAATGCATTCAAGTACGAAAACTGCATTTATTTACTGAATTACATCAAGGAACAACAATGAGCTGCTTCTCCTATCAAACATACTTCGATTGGTTTGGGATTCATTATCTCATTGCCAAAATCAAGAAATGGGCTGCTTTTGTTTTCTGTAGTTTTCCAACAACCTTAATTCTGTGCAGATCGTAAAGCCCCTGAACAAGCTGCAAGATTCAACCTCATTCACCAATGCTTAACTGAAGTGCAACACGAAGATAGAGGGAATAATCTTTGAGGGAACAGTCTTTAAAATGAGCCATGTTCCTCTGTAATCCCACGGCCACTGACACAGCAGGCCCACAGCCAAAACCACAGCACAGTTTCAGAAATGAACCAACCTGATCCTCTAGTTCTGGCCAATTCCAATAATGAACTCCAGTTCTTACTGAGGGAGTCTGAGCAAGAGATTTTCACAAGCACCTAACTATTATCATGGCAAAACACTAATGGCTTGAGAAACAAGTAGTTTAGAATAACCACACATCACAGAATTCAGATTACAAGTTTGAAACAATTATGTGGGAGAAGCTCTATCAAGGAGGGCAAAATTAATTTGAATTTTCTTCAAACAACAGTTTCCAATTACCTACAAGCAACTGTTTACTTTAAAATTTGTTCATTCTGGACTTAAGGTTAATGTTTTCTTGAACATCCAAGCACTGATCACATACAGAAATTTTGATCCCCTTTCCTTTTGCAGTTAGACATCACTGAGTGTCCCCTTAAATAAAATCTATTCCAAGGGAAAGGAGATAATGAAAGATTTAGTTCTTAAAATTAACTTCACGCAATATATTTTTTTCTAGTGTGACCTTACACAGAAGCTCTTTAACAGACAGATTGCTTGATGATTAAGTGAGCTATGCTAATGCAACAAATGATCCAGGAGGCAGGAAATGATGACTTCAAATCACCAGTAATTCTAAATTTAGATCTTTAGCTTTTCTATACTGTAAAAATCAAAGCAACAGCACTCACATCATCTAGAAAGGGATTCTGGAAGTCTTTTCAGTGCAGTAACATTACAACTTTACTAGTGAAACAATGCAATGAGTTGCCTGGGTAAGAAATCAAGAGGAACCATCATTCTTTGGCAAAATGGTTGAATTTCTACGATCATTCTGTCAGCCATATTTGAGATGTGCTGCTGGCTATTAAGGGTACTTTCAAGAAGACTTTGACCACATACCAGAGAGTTCCTTAATATGTTTTGAATGGTTTGTCACTGAAATTGTTTTTGAAAAATATCCCAGACTATAACAAATCTGAGTCTGACAGCTTGGGAAGCACTGAGCTGCAAAATACTTAGGCCCCCAGATTCTCAAAGTAGAATGTCTCAAGACTGGGAACTGTTATAAAGTTACAGTGACAATGAATATACTTGTTCAACTGGGATAAAAGATGTCATGAACAAAATTTTGCACTGGAGTTTGCAGCAGTCTTTTCTGTCAGTAAAAAAGAAAGGAAAACTATAATTTCTGTCTTCTAGAAGAATGGCTGTTGTAAGGAACTACTATTATGTATGAAAGAAAACACTTAGGAATCAAAATATCACCGTTCCTTTTAAAAGTCTTCCATTTAAAAGTAAACGGGCACAGAAAGGATAGTTGAGGGATTTCTGAGGCTCTGAGCTCAATTCTCCTTGATTATGAAGTAGCAATGGATCTAGGAGAAAGGCTGCATTTCCCTTCCAGTAGGAACTATCAGATTTCTTAAAGATTATTTTTTTTCTCCATGCCTGAGAATTTCAGAAGTGGCACCAATCAGAGAAATGATCAAGGTATTCTGTAAGTTTCAATATCTGGACTGTTTCATGTTCATTTTCTGTATTTCAGAGACTGTTCTTACCCTTTCATATCATATACTTTATATCATTACCATATATCCCTTTTATGTGGTATCTCTTCAGCACATAAAACACTGACTGAACAGGAAAACATCAAGTTAAAGCTTCAAACTTACAATGTAATTGGAATGATGGGCTCCTTTCTTATCAAGCAGAATTTCCTGCCTAGTAGACACTGGGTCAGCATCTGAACCAGCACTTTATGAGTATGTTTTCCAGCATGCCATTCAAACTCAATCCTGAATGCAATTTAGCAAACTGACAAGGAAACTCTGAAGAGGTGGAGAGGTTGAAAATAGAAAAGTTACTTAAGAAGATGCTTAAAGACTTTATCCCAGCAAGAACTCTACTATGTCTATATAGTTTCTTAGTGAAGAAGTATTGCCAAGCTTACTTAAAAACCTTCCTGTATATAGAATAAAACTTAATTACAAATGCACTTGCTCTATCTTTTTACATCATATTTGGGGAATAGTATTTAGCAACATTCCTTAATGTGACTCTTTCTTCCTTTAGGTTTCCAGAAACTGGTATGTCTTCCACACAATAAAACATCACAGTATCAGGATGCCTTAACATTTCAGACTTTTTTTCTGAAGTAGTTCAATGATTAGAAATACCCATGATAAATTAAAAGGCCATGCAAGCTTCCCCTGTAGCTCTTTCTCCAATAAACCCAGCACACAGCAACATTATTACCCTAATCAGAATGTCTCCATAACATTAATATATCACATTCTGTGGCAGTTTTTGCAGCTTCTCTCATATCCTCTTTGTGTGCTAGAACAAAGCTCAGAAAAGTTAAAATAATGTAAACCAGTTGCTTAAGACCTACTACTTATATAATCCTCATTAAGGCAAAAGTTTTAGAGCCCAAAGTCTTACGGATGGGAACAGTTTGTCTGGAGAGCCGAAAGGAACTACAACACACAGTAGTCATGACACTGAGTCTTGTTTGCACTTTCAGCACCCTGTAGTACAGAATGATGACCCCTGCAATTCTTAGTTAAAATCTTATATTGCTTGCTTTTAATTGTTAAGCTTAAAAACTAGTAACAGGCTGCAAATTGAGAACCATTCATTAACATATTTAACATAAGCACTTAGTTTATTAAGTTCTAGCATACTAGCAACTCAGTTTGTAGTCATTATCCAACAGTCAATGCTGGGACACTAAAATAAATTTTGAAGATGAGACTAGCATGTTTAAATTTCTTTCTAAATAGAAAAGCATCCCAACAACCTCATTGTTATGAATGACTGACATAAAACTATCTCAAAAGTTCAGGACAAAAAGGCATAGCTTTCCAAACCATGCTTTGTTTTACTTCAAGTAACACTGAAGAGGACATGGTTATATATCTGACACAGGACTGAGACAACTTTAGAATAAGTGCAGTTCAGTTGCCTTCAGTTCTTTCTGAACAGGTGATACCCTGTTCTCAGTAAGACATTTACTAAGACCCCTTCCCTAAATAAATCCCAAAACATTGCAAAGATAAGCATGATAGCTTCTCAGACTTAAAAGAAAAAGTTACTTACACATAGTTTAGCATCAGATTGCAAATACCAGATTGTAAGAAAGCATGCTGTTTCATTGTGAACAAATACAATGAAATTAACACTTCCTACAATTGAAAAATTCATACCTGGGTACACTGCCTGTTAAACTTCTTTCACTTGATGACGATGATGATGATCCAGGTCTCTGATCAGCCTTCCTCCCTAGATTATCTGTTGCACTAGTCTGAGGTTTTTCACCTTTGTCTTCTGGCTTTTTTTTTTCAGTATCACTTTCATCACTGCCTTCTCCTAAGATGTCATCCACCTGCCAAAGAGTGGAGGAGTCAGTTTATCTTCCAACAGATTAATTATGTATTAATATTTCACAATTATTGGATCAATCTTCGATAATCATTAACAATATGCTTCAAGTTTCCTTGGCCTTCTCTGTCAAAATTTAAATTAAACCCCAATGTCTTCAACACAGCTTCTATAACAACTCTAGCAACATTTTATTCAAATAATGTTTATTTATTCTATGCTTAGCTTAAGGCAGATATACATATACTCACATACATGACTGTCACACAAGAAACTATTACAAAAAGAGTGCTGTCTTCTGAAATTAAAGGGATAGATGATTTTTACTATCATAACTTACTGATGTATACTTTCTACTAGATACATTTTATATTATTATAACATAGAGAATCACTTGGGAAAGGCATATTAAAATCTCTGGTAAGAATTCTTATATTTCCAGGTATTCCTTGGCACATATATAACTGTAAAGTTATACATAAAAATAATACAGTATGAATGAAACAGAATGTACAAACCCCATTTTAACCCAACTGTCTGACTGTGCTAATTATTAAGGACAAATCTATCAAAAGCTTACATATTTTGTTAAATAACTGTTTGTCCTTTACTTTTGAAAAGTTACCATAGGATTTGACAATCCTCTAAAAATCTATGAATTTGCTGTGACAGGTCTGGATCTGCTGAAACCATCATTAAAAGCAAATTACACTCATGAAGTCACCCTAATGAGCTTCAAAAGGTTATATTCTCTTTGAGTTAGTATTCAAACTTCAGAAAGAGATGAAAACATAAGAAAACACAGGTGATGATCCCCCCGTCTCTCAATTTTTGTGACTGGCAGAAGACATGGAAATAAGTAATGCGTGAGTATTTCTTTACTGATATTTAAGAATTTTTCCTAGAAGCAGCTTATCTCAACATGAATTTAAATATGCTTCACTACTACTCTTTGTTTTCACTAATCCACATCTGCTTTATCAAGAAGAAAAATATCTGCACATGAAAATGGACTAAATGGTTGTTTATCTTCTGCTTTTACATGAATAAATCCAAAAGCTAAAAGAAAGCTGTAAGAAAGTCAGTTATATCTGGTCATTCATTAGTGGACCTTTAATTTCTTCAGCTCATTAAAAGGAACTGCAAACCAGTTTAGTGCATCTAAATCCAGATGGCAGTTTCAGGTAAAAACTGCAGGAATTGCTGTGTCAAATCAAATTACATTAGTCCAAAAATATTTTTCCTGTGAGCAGAAGTTGTCATATGCATGGCAAATAAGAATTGTGGGATGCAATTAAAGGTCAGGAAGACTAAAAGCACTGCTAGAGATCAGCCAACAGTGAACCAAGGAGAAGAATGTGAAGCACACAGGATGGGGATTTTTCTGTATGTACAGAACAGTCAAAGTCTCAAGTGTTTTAAGTGTTACAGTTTGGGATGGGATGGCAGGAAGACCCTGCCTGCATAGCTTTGGTAGAAGACACACCAGGTAGCTGACATGGCCAGTGACTGACAGCACAGAACCACAGCTCTAACAACTCCTTTCCTGCACATCATTTAAAATTACAGTCCTTCATTCCAAAGCAATACTTTTCCAGAAAGTCTTATGTTTAAAACTACGTTCTCACTACAAAATATGTTAAGGTTTTAAAAGTATAAAGTTAGGCTAATAGACATTCAGTATTACAGATACCTCTCTCAATCTGAAGTTTGATAGTAATTTAAAATCTACTTTGTGTGAACAGTTTTGGCAGACTAGTAGTCTAGTTATTGCCATGCCTGTTTTTCTTTCATCCTGTACAATGATAACATTATTTGTTTGAAGTCTGAAATGACATTTAATAGTACCATTAGCAGAATTAGTTGTACACATATATATGCCATTTCTCTGAAAGGCCATCTAAAATTAATGTATAAATCATAGAAATATATAAAATTTCAAAAATCATTTCCTATGAAAACTATGTGTGATGGTGCCTACAAATCTCTAACTAGAAAGGCTCCCAAAACATTGATTCCTGCTTAATTATTGGCTAAATTGCAAATGTGCTGAAAAAAGTATTACATCTTCATCTTCCACAATTCTCAGAAGAAATGGAAAACAAGCCGTATTTTCACTGAGGCAGTGAGATTTCAGCTCATGTCACTTGAACAAGTTAATAGGCAAAACAACTTCATTAATATCTACACACCAAATATATATCTATACCTATCACTAACTTTGAATAAATAAGAAAGTTCAAAGAAGAGAGGAAACTTTCAAACTGATTCAGAACATGACAGATACAGATGTACGAAGTACCAACTATAGCTTCAGCTTATGTGATTGGATTTATACGATTAATATAAATGGAACACATAACATGTCGGAAGAAAATGCCAGCTAACACCAAATCTTACTGATAAGATCCAGTGAAGGGATGCTTACCCGCTTTAACATGCATAGCAGCTGCCTTTGAAATAGACTTTTATAATCCAGCAACAATGATTAACATTGAAAAATAAAAATGATTCATCCCTTGAAAATGACAAAGTTGTTCAATTCAGCAATAGAATCAAAAGCCTGACAACTCTTTCAAACACTCAATTATAAAAGCCAGTAAAGGTCCTTATGTGACAAATCTATTTTCTCTCTCATTTAGGAGGAGCAGAGCACACACTCATGCAAAGTATAAAGACCAAAGAACAATGAGATTTTTAGTCTCATTCTCCAATTAAGAGCTGAAAAGTAGCTAAAGCTTTGATGAGTCAAAGCCTTCCACAGTACTAACTAACCAGATCAGCCGAAAGTTTACTCCAGAAGTTGAGTTTACACATTCAAAATGAATCAAGACTCCAAGAAAAACACCAAAAAAGAAACTGCTATGAGTAACTTAATGTTTCCTGAAGTTAAGTTACAGGCAATATTCTGATACAACTTTATGGATATGACGTAGAGCTATCATGATACAGTTTTTGGAAATAACTACTATATACACAATAATGCAAACTATATATTTAAGAACAAAAAGGAGCTGTAAATAAACTTTAATTCTTGTTTTTCAACTAGCAAGTACTTTAGGATTCAAGCTTTAACAGAACTGAGAAGCTACCTTAGACAGCCAACAGGACAACACTTGCAACTGCTTAAAAGATCTTAAAAGCGGTACAATCGTCTGAAACACCTCATTACTGGAATTACAGAAAAAATTCAACAAATAGGTTTCATAAACAGCAGTAAACTTTGTGCTCCAGTACTGCACAAAGGAGACATGTTTCTTCCCCTCCCCACCAGCCTTTCCAAAAAGACTTTTGCTCCAACTGATTGTGTAAGTTAAGGGAGAAACAGAAAAAAACACCAAGTATTTACAAGGAGTTCTTTAGGTCTATTTCTACTGCCCCAAAAATGGCTGTTCATTGTAAACAATGCAAGCAATTTGTATTGGCAGTAAGTACAGCTAAAATCCAACTCCATTTCAGCATAAAACTTGTGTGTCCTGACCATTTTTTTGAGATTGTGTTGAAAGCATTTTACTTGAGGAGGAACTTCCAAAAAGTAATATAGTCTGCCATCTGAAGTGTCAAAAGGTTTCGATATGTACCTTATATTCCCCCCCACCCCCCTTCCGTGGTATATAAAGTCAAAGAATAACTCTAAGAGGATACTGAAATCTTTATCCTAGGCTCCCCTTCCAACATTCCCTTTTGCTTTGTCCCAAACTATTACTTTTTAGTACATTACAGAAATCAGCCAACTGTTTTAGAAACTTTAAAAGAGTAGCAAAATGAGAAGACCAAGAGGAGGTAGGTGAAAACTACAAACTAACCAGCACTTGAGAGCATGTGAAATTAACAGTGAATGGTGGTATTAGATTGCAAACCAAACTAAAGAGAGCGGTGGCTCCATCCTTCCGGAGCTGAACACTGAACTTTGAAACCTTCCAGGGCAGAGGTGTGAAAATAAAACCGCTCTGTCTGTGGCAAAATAAATGTAAATAATACTGTAAAAGTTTATTAACTCCACACTAGAAAGTAATTTGCAGGAATTAATGCAGCACTGATAACTCTAAAGCAGGTGCAGTTTTATTTCCATAACCCAGCTTACAAGGGGTCACCCAACAGTGCTCTCTACACAGTGCACACAATCACATGACAAATCATTTCTGTGGCACAATCACAAATGCTTGTCCTCTCTTTCCTCAAGCTCCTCTAAGCATACACCAGGCATTTGGTAGAGCAAGGAAAGGTTTATCAAGAGAGGGACAGAAGAACTGATGTTTGTTTGTGCAACTGACTTGGGAAATTTCACTGCTCGACCTAAAAGAAGCGCAGTTTGGCGAAGAACAGCGAGAGGACATGACAGGAGTGACAAAGCCCCTGCAGGAGCAGGAGGCAGAAAGTGAAGTGCTGGGTCACTTAACTTTCATGGGCAGCCCTCTTAATTTTAAACCCCACTGGGTTCTGTGCTAAACAGCATGATACAGATGTTGCCCATATGTCAAACTTAAGCAAGATCAGGTGCTAATTATGCAACTTTATATGTCAGAGTAAAGTTTCTGTGATAGCTGCCTATTTGAATGGGATCTTCTACTGAATACAGCATTAATCTAGTTTATACATATATGTGCTGCATTGTTCCCTTGGGCTGAGATGAACAACATACTTATAAAATATTCTTGATTTCTAGTGAAGCCGAACAGCAAAAAAGCAAAATCAAAGTGTAAAGAATTATAGTAGTACTTAACGACAGAGTTCAACTGAAATTCCAAAACAAAACAAACCTTTCCTAGAATAAGAAAAAACACCTGAATTCAAGTGAATTTGTGTTAATGATCACAGATGAGCAGTTATTTACTTTGTGAATAAATTCAACAAAGGATCTGGTTTTAATAGTGCAAAATAGTCTTATGACAAGCTTTCAGAATATCCAAATAGTTTCAAAATAAGGGAATGTGGTTTTTTTTGTAATCTTTATCACTTACTGTATTTATATTCATAAACACTTTTTGTGTCTACCTTTCAACA